CTCTGAAAGAAGAAGTGTGGAGATGTCTGGACGAAAAAATGTCAGATTGCAGATGACTGAGTACAGAACAGAGAAAAGGATAAGGTCTGTTGCTCCAGTAAGGGCCAGAACAGAGGGAACCACATCTGAGTGACCAACACAAAAGAGCCAGCAGAGGTTTGGTCTGGATAAGAAAAAGGACCCAGAAGATGAGTCAAATCAGAAAGTACACATATAGGTGAAGATCCCTACAATCTTGACTGAAAGCATCTATCTCCACAGCTGAAGGGTGAGGAACTGAAAACTAAAAGGAAGAAAGTGTGGAATACCAGTGAATAGGAAATGCATACAAATATGCAGTGTTCACAGTTGAGAACACACCCAAAGAAAAATGTGAGAATGAAGAGACTATTCTGTGGAGAATCTGGTGGGGACATGACAAGAGATTTGCTACAAGAATCAGAACTTGGGGAGCATGACCCACCAGAATAGTCACATCAAGGTCATTGGCCCAGTACACAAAATCCAGAGTCTGACCAAACAGAGATTTTTATGCGGTTCACACTTTCTTGGTGATAAAACCAATGATGGAATTGCAGAAAGAACCTAAACCATTCTCCCCTGCAGAAAAGGGAGGAAAGGATATAGCCCAATGAACTGCCAAGGTACCAGGATGTGGATATGGAGAGTAGTCTCCCTGACTGACCACCGACCCAAAAACTCAGTGGAATCGAGGAAAATGGGATGATCCAAGGGATTGTGAGAGAAGTTCCACTGGTCAAGAAGTATCCAATGAAGAGAATGCATGTGTATACAACCCAAGGAAATGAGCATTTCCAAAGATGATCACATCCCAAAAGAGAGAGAACCCCACGGGCATAGAGGGAAGGAGAAGGGATGACAAATGTGACTGTTTACTCAATATCCTGGAGCCAAAGTGGAGAAGGCTGGGCTTGACCAAAAAAGGAAGTGAAGAGAACCCCCCCAAATGAAGAAGATACTGTGAGGGGATAGTAAAGAACTTCTCCAACCAAAAAAGAAACATACCAGAGAAGCTTCTAAAAGAAGGAATCAGGTTTGAGTGACAGTCCGGGCACAGGAAGAAGTGAGCAGAAGCCTGTCGTCTATGAAATGCGAGTCTGAAAACCCAACTAGTGAAGATGACATGCAAAAGAGCATATCACTCCACAAAACAACTACAGAGCTGAAGAAAGACAGTCTGTGAGCACCCACAACAAGAAGGCAAACTGACCTAGAGGAACCAAAGAAAAGAACATGACACTGGGACATAACAACCCACGCAAATGAGAGGTAGGACTCCATGGTGAAGCAAGGTGAATGCAGATAAGTATACAGCCAGGACAGATCAAGAAAGGGACTTTAAACTCCCATGTGTTGGAAAGAAAGGGTGGGAGTAAACATATGGTGGAGTGGATAACTCCACTGTATATTAGGACACAAACAGACTGGGCAAGACAACAAGGCAAGGTATGAACCTGAGGAGGAGATCTGGTAAGTGAGTAGAGGGGGAAAAAAATGGAAGTCAGAAACCCTCATATAGAATCTGTAAAAAAATTAAACTTTTGTGAAATGTAGCCAAAAATACATATAAACTAAAGAAATTGAAGAAAATACACAGAACTAATGAACTAACGAAAACCTTGAAACATATAGTCTACAAAGAGCTAAAGAACATGAGAATAAAAAGGCACCAAGTTAACAAAAACAAAGGCTGACTCAAACTTATCCCAATTAGATGTGACTAGAAGTAAAGATGCAAAAAAGGAACTTGTAACTAAATAACATTAACAGTAAAATAATGTAAAATATCAAACCAAATTAACATAAGAAACAAACTCTAAATGCAAGTTGTAAACTAAAGTAACCTAGATGGTAAAAGAAGTATAAAATCTGAACTTACACAACATTAACCAGAGAAGATATGAATGATGTAAAATACTGAATGTGGAAATTAGATCCATACACTCAAGCTCACATAAACTCATTGAACATGGGTATGTATATGGGGAGTGAGAAATACACACTGAAAAACTTACCACAGATCTCCTGGGAAAAAGAACAATACCAATCTTAAAAGGAAAAAAATCACTGGCTGAACATAAAACATGAACTCCCCACAAATGAAAGTCTGTGCTTCCTCAGCAGACATTTCCGGTATAACAATTCAAAAATTTCTAAAACAGCAACTTTTTCGTCTACTACTTACCTATCCACATAAGCGTGGATAGCCCCTAGACAGCTCGGATTATCGCTACAAGGTTTATCCAGCTTACTTGACTGGTTTGTGGGTATCGGCTTTTGATATTTCAATAAACATATACAGATTTTTTATAAATGGTGAACTTATCATGCACGTACTTAAATATATTTTAAACCCAATTCAAACCAACAGATGGCGCTACACAACAATAGATAAACACGCAACAGTTTCTAAAAGTAAAGTATATACTTTATACAGGTATAACACAAAAAGTAAACAATCAAGAGTATTAAAAACTTATGAATTTTAAAATGAAGTAGGGATCGTGCTACAAAAGTAATAAAACAAGAATTAAAACCGTAATCACAAATTTATAAAATTTAATCCCTACTTTGGCAGCTTTATACACTTATCTGTAGGCCAAAGTTATAGTTATCAAGGATATGGCTATAAGGTTTATAGATGTTGTGTCCATTACATGGACATATAAAAACTAAACATACAAATAGAAAAAAAATTAAAGTATTAAGGGAAAGTAGGAATTGTTGGTTATTCAGTAAATTGCTATTAAAAGTATCCAGAACAAAATAACTTCTGCAATAGAAAGTACATAAACAAGTAAAGTGATACTAGCTGGATAGATTTTAAAACGATTTTCAAACCAAAATAGGGATTGAAAATGGCTTTAAGCCAGTAATAGCAAGGGTTCATTGATTATTAGATTCTTCTTCACTCTTAATAGTCCTACACTTTTGAACCTAAAACATAAGACCATTTGTCCTATTGTAAACTGCTTTGGTATTTACTTTATTTTACTGCATTGTTATTCGTATTCAGGGCTGTACCAATCATTGATGGCACCTTGTACCAGATATAAACTCTGTGTCTCTCCTTTAAAAAATCGAACCTGTTCTTGCCTTCAAAGATGTAAAATCACACCCCTCAGCCTGGATGGTGGAGTCTTGCTTACCGAATGCCTTTTATATAGGCAATAGTTCAAAATTATGGTTGGGGGATAGTCTTCTTAGCTTTACAAAAAATAAATGCTTGTCGATTTAGGTCATGATAATGGGGAAATATGCTACAAATAGAGGATTTTTCTCCCCCGCTAGTAAGGAGATTTTGAGAGAAGCACCTGGCAACCCTGGAGAGGGATGGAAATTAGTTCTCACCGATTTAACTCAGTAAAATGTGATAAACTCAAAAACAGATTGAGCCTCATTTTTTCAGTTTTGTTGCTTTCGCAAAATTATCATTTTGGAAATGAAAAAGAGGCTTTTACATAAAACTTGGCTAGGCCAAAATATTCAATTTATGTGAACTATTTTACTATGTCACTAAGCTGTAAGAAAATATTGTTGCGTATCTGCTCGTTTGTTAATTTCCGGTATAACTTCTTTCCAAGGAACTTCGACGATACAAGTCCTTTCTTAATTAAAACTGTTTATTTTTTCTTGATACCAATTTT